TGTGGTGCAAGATTGTGTGGAAATGCAAAAGAAAAGAATTGAAAATAAAGGCGAAATGACATGTAATTTAAAATAAGAAAGAAATTGGAGGAGAAAGTGGGTTATTGAATAGAAAGCGTGCATTTTCAAGTGCATAAGATAATGATGTTGATAAATTTACTGAAATAAAATATCAAGACGGAAGTCTTGGATGTCATGTCATGTAAGAAAATTATATAAAAATAAGACTGAGCTTGCAGATGTTTGAGTAAATGTTGCGGAAAATTTATGAAAGTTTAGATGGGAAAAGTTTTTATTCTTCATTGATTTTTATGGAAACTTTTTACAATAGATTGAAATAAAATAAAATTTTATGAAGGAAATGATGTGGAAATTCAAAAAAAGCTATAAAAATGAAATTTTACAGCTTGATTAAAAATTTAAATTTTGTACAAACCGTCAAAACTTAAATTTTTGAGTATTATTAAAAATTCAATTTTTTAAAAAATTTATAATTTGAACATTTGAAAATGTAAAAATTTGAATTTTTCAAAATTGTTAAAATTTGAATTTTTGAAAACCGTTGAATTTTGAATTTTTACAAACCGGTAAAATTTGAATATTTGAAAACCGTTAAATTTTAAATTTTTGTAAACCTTTAAAATTTGAATATTTGAAAACCATTAAAAGTTGAATTTTTCAAAATTGTTTTTTTTTTTTTTCATAATAAAAATCACAGTGGTCAGCAATAATGTGGCTAATAATCCGAACGACCAGCCTCAGGCTAAATTAAAAGAGAGAAAAAATGAACTTTTCGTGATAGAATTTTATGTGAGTGAATTTATGGACATGAAACTAAAATTTCGTCATTAATATGTGATTTTATTTCGGACATGTTCATTAAATTATCGTTGATGGAGTCATTTATGGCTTGTTGTGAGGTTTTACTGTTAAATTATTGAGTTTGTGCGAAATGTTTTATTTCGGTATTAAATGTTGTTATTGTCATGTGAACACATTTTAAATCAAATTTAAATAATCACTTCATTAAAAGTAAGTTGATGAAAAATTGAAATTTTTATAAAATGACGCCATTTTGCTTCACCTCAAAAAGTTTTTTGCTGACTAAGGCTTTATGAAAAGTTTAAATTGTATGAAATCTTCTGTAGATGATGGAAAAAAGTGGCAAAAATCTAGATTAAAAGGTTTAAAGTCAATCAAATCAATCGTTTGTGATTAATCGACGAAATACAGGTTAACTGATTATTACATAACTTTAATTTTTATTGTTCTTAACGATAGACTAATTGACTGTCTATTCACAACTTCTCATTCTGACCTAATTCAATTCCATACCCCACCCAGTAATACTATTTAATTACCCAACGACAATCATATCAACGACAAAGTAATAAGAAGACAATAAATAAGAATAAGAACAACAGAAAAAGAAAATGAGAATCCATAAATATATCAATAAAATAGAATAATATTGGAAAGATGTCATGTCGGATGAACGATTTCATTTATTTTCTCATATATTTATTATCATGCCAATGGCTTACTCCTCCTCTTTATGCTCGTCTAGCATCTGCCTGCCTGCTTATTACATTAAATGATTACAAAGAATAAATTATATGAACGAAGATGTATCGATTCTTATTTATAAGAATAGGTTTTGATGGGGAATTCGGGGAGGAGAGAGGATGTGATGTAAGTTTGTTGAAGTCATTTTTAAGCTAATTTTTGAGAATTGATCAAGTTTGGTATTCAAAAGTCGAGCTTTATGTGCGACTATTGACTCACTAGCCAGCCATAAAACCATGTGCAGCGTGCGACTATTGACTCAATTCTTGGTTTTACCACACAATAGTGTGCAGCGTGCGACTATTGACTCAATTTAAAATGATGACCATAAAACCATGTACTGCATACGGCTATTGAGTCAGTAGCTTCGACTAAATTGCTAGTTATGACCACATAATAGTGTGCAGCGTGCCACTATTGACTCAATTTGTTGTGACCACTAAACCGTGTGCAACATACGACTCCTGACCGCGAATAGTATTTTAACAACAAAAATACGGTTTAAAGCCCCAACAAAAAGCCTCCCTTAAAGCCACACAAACAAAATTCGATTTCTATTATCGAACTAAGCCGTATCATGTTTACTTCCCACTATACAGCATATAGCTTACAAGAACATAGTAAAACCAATAATCAAGATGTCTCAAAAGACAAAAACGAAAAAAATTCTTGTTATTTACTTTCATGCATAATCCAACAAATAAGAAAAGAAGAAGGAACAAAAAACTTGTGTTGGACGTCCATTTATTCCATTTAATCGTTAATTTATTGGATCAATTTCTTTTGTCTTTTAATCCCTCAGAATTGGTAATACCAAATTGGTATATCAACATATCTTAATCAGTTTTTATAGGAAATTGTCTTTTTTGGGGGTCTAATGGCTTAAGAAAGTAAATTGAGAAGTATTTTAAGGATTATCGGAATTAAGGAGGTTATGTGATCAATTTTTTAAGTAAAACTGAGAGTTTTGGGTGCCGAGTTTCAAAAGTCGTGTGAAATGTACGGTTTTGGTGTCACATAGTAAAGAATGTACCTTGTTTGTAATGAGTAGTCTAAAGTGGTGTTGTGCGTACAGTTTTGGTACCAAATAATCAAAAGTTATGTAAATTGCAAGATTCTACACACAGAATCTCAATAATGCGCTCCGAACATCCACATAACCTCAAAAAACTTCAAATTTGCCTCCTTTCATATCCATTTTGTCAATAAAAATGAACATCAACAACCAATAAAATGACTAGACAAAACTGAGACAGTCAAATGAGTGAGCATGAAGAACAAAGGAACAGAAATTTAATTGAATGAATGACTTGAGAATGTCCATGAACAAAAGAGGATTAAACGTCATCTTAAAAGATTAAGAACAATGCTTTCCTGCTTCGTTTTTATTTCATGTTGAGCTTGGTGTTGAGGCAAAGGAAAGGTGAATGAAAATTTATGAACTTTTGAATGGATTACTGGGGAATAAGTGAGATGAAAATGGGAGGATTAAGGTGAGCTTATGGCTACTTAATGCCTGACAATGAGGAAGTAATGAAAAGGGATTCAATGAAGTTGAAGGACGACAAATTACAAAAGTGGTGTAAAACGTATGACTTTTGAGTTACAATCACTAAACTTGCGGCGGTTCGGTTCCTCTGTCATTCCTTTAAATTCCATTCTAAGGTCTAGTTCAGTGTTTCTCAAACTATGCTCCGCGGTGCTTTACTGTTCGGAAAATTTATTCTTGATGTTTCAAAAGTGGTTACCAGAGTGAAGCAGAAACATAAACGGATTGCTGCTTAACTGCTCCGTGGCATGAAAAGTTGAGAAGCACTGGTCTAGCTCAGCGATGCCCAACTCATGTGCCGCGAAGAAAAATGGAAAATCCTACGAACCGTGTGCCTTGTGTGGTTACGGTCGTGGCTTATTATTAAAAAAGGTTGATCACCACTGGTCTAGCTGAAACTATTTAAATAATAATTTCAGACACAGTATTAGAAGTTCTGAACTAAATGTCTCGTATCTGATTAGAAAGGGTGTTGGACATCTGGCAGAAAGTAATTCCTAGGAATTCCTAGGAATTTACGTAGTTCCTAGGAATTTTTACGTAGAGATTTACGTAGGCTCCTAGGAATTCCTAGGAAATACTAGGAATTTCGGAAAATCCTAGTAATTCCTAGGGACCTTATTTTAGGAACTAAAATTTTTAAAGGATTACTATGATTTCCTAGTATATACTAGTATTTCCTAGGATAGCTCATTAAATCTTGGAGGAATTTCCTCAAAATCCTAGAAGTTCCTAAGATTCCTAAGTATATTAAATGAATTCTTCAAGGAATATTAAATGAATTCTTAAAAGAATTTCCTTACTTTCTGTAGAACTTACTAAGGATCCTAAGATTGCTAAGTATATAAATGAATTCTACAAGGAATTTCCTTACTATTTGTAGAATTTACTAAGGATCCTAAGATTCCTAAGTATATTAAATGAATTCTTTAAGGAATTTCCTTACTTTCTGTAGAATTTACTAAGGATCCTAAGATTGCTAAGTATATAAATGAATTCTACAAGGAATTTCCTTACTATTTGTAGAATTTACTAAGGATCCTAAGATTCCTAAGGTTTTAAAATGAATTCTTCAAGGAATTTCCTAATACTGAAGAATTCGCTAAGGATCCTTACAAATTTCTAGGAATTTTAGTAAAGATATTTACTTTTATTTCTTGTTAATGTTAAGAATTGCAATAAACTATCGAGTGCCTATTAAAAAATTGGAGAAAGTCGTGGTGTTATATATTGTTTTATGCTTCAAAAATATTCGTTCGGTCAATAACTCGAAAGAACTGAGCTAATAAAACAAACCCGAGCTCTCTACGATGTCTGGTTAAAAAGTTTTTCTTCGTCCGAGCAGCCGAACACCCGAACAACCGAACAAAGTGTACTAATAAGCTACCTTTAAGAAACAAGTTTCAAAAATGCGGTAAAATTTCTTAATTGCTAAACCATGTTGAAATTCCTAATTTTTGTACTTTTTCATTAACTTATTTAATTATTCCTGTTACTTTGCGTATGAATTTTCAAGGAATTCCTAGGATTTCCTATAGGAAATTCCTACGTTTTCCTTGTAAAATCTTACGTAAAGTAATAGGAATTCCTAGGAATTACTTTCTGCCAGATGACCATGAGCCGATTAGAAAAGATATAAAATACGTGAATCACTTGTGTTTTGCTCAACATGATTTCTTATCGAACTAAAGGTTTCTTATCGATATCGTTTAGATATAAAAAATTGTATCTATAAATCCATTGTCTTGTGTGACAGCTTGTTTGTTCTATTTTCAATCAATTCATTTTAAAAAAAATTAAGTTGAAAAGTGTAGCTTGTGGTTTTAAATAATTAAAAATTGAAGATTATTTAAAGTAAATTTGAATATTTTTATTTAGCCTGTAAATGACACTGATAAGTGAGTGGAAAAGATGCTGTAATAATTTGTCCTTTAAAATGTTTGAATAATTTCGTAATTTTAGGGACTAAAGGAGAAAATTAAGTCAATTTTAGTTCATAGGGGCATCAAACTACATCAAAATTAAGGTAGCATCAAAGAGTGTGAAAATAAAATCAAGAAGTGCAAAAATAAAACCAAAGAGTGTGAAAAAATCAAGGAGTGTGAAAAAAAATCAAGGAATGTGAAAATAATATCAAGGAGTGTGAAAAAATCAAGGAGTGTGAAAATAAAATCTAGAAGTGCAAAAATAAAATCAAGGGGTGTGAAAAAATCAAGGAGTGTGAAAAAAATCAAGGAGTGTGAAAATAATTTCAAGGGGTGTAAATCTATAATTTTGGCTTTTGAAATTTTGCATAACCGTTTTTTCAAAAATATTCCAACAAAAATAAATTGAAAGCTTCAAAACGTGCCAAATTTCAAGAAACCAAAATTTAAAACGACATAAAACTGCCACCAAATCAAAGTTAAAAGGCTGTAAAACTACGAAACAACTAAAATTTCTAAAAGACGTGCAACCAAGACGAACATAATCCAATCATGTCCATCCAAATACCATGTGAGTTCATCAAAACCAAATTCTTTTATGTCTGCATAGTCAAAGACCAACCCATCCAGCCAAACAAAGTTCTCGTCTTTAATGGTCAACACAATCCAAACAAGACAAACCAAAATATTGAAGGAATTTACTTCATTAACTGCAAACTATCGAAAGTTCCACAAGGAATCACAAGAGTCTTCCCAAATCTTCACATGCTGCTTATAAGGAACACAAATCTGAGTAAAATCAGTCGATCCGATTTATTTGAGTACCGAAATTTCAAGATTTTCTTATTCACTGGAAACGAAATTGAATTTTTGTGTGAAAATTTATTCGCTGACTGCAAAAATTTGACGACAATATCATTTTGTGGAAACAGTTTGAAGGTTGTGCTGCCGTCAATTTTGGATGGATTGAAAAATTTGAAGTTTGTTGATTTTAGTGGAAATCCATGCTATATGGGATGCTACTCAAAATTTCCAGGCAAAGGACATGACACAAGTTTGGAGGAACTTAAAACGGAACTTGAAGAAAAATTTGAAATTTTCGGTAAAAATCCAGAATTTTTGCAGGAACGCAACAAAGTTTTGGAAAATTTGATTTTTAAGTCGAATGAAAATGTTCAGAAAATGTCGGAAAATGGGAAAACAATGAAGGAAAAAAATGAAAAATTGATGAAAATTTTGGAAGCAAAGGAAGCTGAGATGATGAGTATTAAGGAGCAACTTGATGGATCAACAAAGAGAATTCTTGAACTTGAAGAAAAACTTGTGATTTTGAAGCTTAATTTCCATGCAGAAGTAAAGAACTTGAGATTGAGACACGAGAGAGAGTTGCGACTAGAACGAGACAGAACTAAGAAAGGACTTGACGATTTAAATGATTTTTAACGGCTTTTGAAAATTCAAACTCTTTAACGACTTTCAAAAATTCAAATTTTTAACGACTGTAAAAAATTCAAATATTTTAAACGGCTTTTGAAAATTCAAATTCTTTAACGGCTTTTATAAATTCAAATTCTTTAACGGATTTAAAAAATTGAAATTTTGTAACGGTTTTCAAAAATTTAAATTTTTAATAGCTTTCAAAAATTATTTCAAATTAACGTTCCTCTAATAATTATATGCAGATATCCTTAATACATATCAAAATAAATCAAAACGAATAAAATCAATTCCTCATGTTCTTAATAAAAGCCTTTACATCCTGTTATATAACATGTTTTACCATAAATGTATGTAAATAATAAAATTTGTAAATATAAATCGCATTTGATGTTATGTCAATAAATCTGCAATAAATTTTCATGACTTAGCCTCCCTACACAGCCTATAACACAACAAAACAGTCAATAAATCTGAATGATTTGAGTAGAAACGTAAATAAAGAGCATCATCATTATCAGCAGTTTTGTTCATCGTCGGTTGCGAAATTGATTGAATAACTTAAGTAACTGTCATGTTCGGGATTACGATTTTGGGGGTTTAATAAGTTTGATAGGCATTTTTGGAAATCATGGTGATTTGAACGTATTTTTTGAATTTGATTTTTAATCATTCAAATTTTTAACAGATTTTAAAATTTAAAATCTTAACGGCATTTTTAAATTCAAATTATAACGGCATTTTTAAATTCAAATTTTTAACGACTTTTTGAAATTCAAATTTTTAACGGCTTTTTTATATTTGAATTTTTATGAATTTTAAAGAATCGCATTTTAACGGTTTCTCAATTTTTAATTGAAATTTCTCCAAATTAATTGAAATTTCAAAAAGCTTAAAAATTTACACAGCCAGCCAAGTCACTACCATCTTCGCTCCTTTAACCTAACCTCAATTCGCAAAAAAAAAACATTCCACTCATGTCTATCGAATCAATCCAAATGAAACATTATTTTTGATGCTCATTTTCCACATCGCTCGCATTTTCTTTTTTGTGGCTTTTATTTATCCACTGTGTATGGCTTTTCATCGATTTGACGATGATTTATGAGGTGATATGTGAAAATTGCAGATCAAAACTGGTGAAAATTTTATGGCTGAATGACAATTGAAAGTGGTTTGAGGTGGGAATTGAGTTGAATAGGCTTATTGTGTAGCATTTGAATTGATTTTTGGATCTCAATTAGCCAATTTGGTAAGATGGAAGAGTTTTGATTAAATTTTGAGGTTAATAGTATTGATTTAGATGTGTGGTGGGATTTGTATGGACATGTTGAGGTTCAAATATAGTTGTGAGCTGGATAATTTATTTTCTATGCGATACGAAGGTTTGAGGTTAAAATTTAAATTAATTTCATGGTTAGTTTGATTTGTGATGTGTGACGTTCAAAGTTAACGGTTATTTTTTTTTAAAAAAAAATAGCGAGGTATTTTTTGAATTTTCATTGCTCTTTTCTTGCTGAAACCCCCCCCCCCCCCCCCCTTATTAAAAAATACTGTAAGCATTCCAAGGGTTGGTAACCTTAAAATTCTTAAAAGTTTTCAGGTTGACAACTTGAAGCTACTAAAAGCTCAGATAATTATAACCTAAAATAGAAACAAATCCAAGGGTTGGTAAATTAAAATACCTGTTAAAAAAAGTTCTATTAAGAATCTCAAAGCTTTTTACTCACGTCATCTTCGCATCAACTTTATTTAAGTTTATATTTCACAGCACGAGCAAGTTTTTCGTAAAATAAAATTACTTTTTACATTTATTTTATTATTCTTTATTTTATTGTCACATCATTCGAGTCATATCATCATCCACATGTCTCTTACATTTTCTGTGATGTTGCCATTACGACATCAGATGTGATGAGAACGTTGTTCAATGACCCAAATTGTAAACATAAACACACACTAAAAAATAAGAATCTTAGCTTTTGGGGGAGATGTGGGGGAGCTGGATCCATTTTATAGGGATGAATGTCATGACAATTGGCATTTTTTACACAGTTTGTGTGTCATGTGCTGGATAAAAGCACCAAATTGTCTCGCTTACATTTTTTATTGATGCTGTAAATGTCACAATTCATTTGGGATGTTTATGTCCACATTGTCATTTGATTCTACTCGACTGTCTTCTTCTTTTTTTGTTGAAAAGAGTCTTTTTTATCTTTAATATTTCTAAGAATAAAAATAAAGAAAATGATATCTTTATGGTCTGCTCGTGATTTTCTTAATATTGTAGCTTGAAAAATTTCTGATTTTCGAATTTTTCTGTGGTCTAAAGTGTCCATCCCTTGGATTTTCTGCATCTTCAAGTGCATTTTTCTAGGATTTTGTACATTTTGTCGTTTTTTCTGCTACATTCTGCATCATTTCATCCAAAACTAGCTCTCAGCCGCACAGTTCTTGTATTTTACTGAATTTTCATTCGATATAACCTCAAAATTTTTATCTATTCCTAAAGAACATGTCTTCTATGTCAGGTTTCAATCGAGTAAGTCAAAACATACAATTTTCCACGAAAAGGACTTTCTTACACTCAATTTTTAACAGGGGGAAAACAACATGATGGAAAATATTTTTATGGAATTTTCTTTTTAATTTTTCATGATTTTTTACAAAATTTCTATTAAAGTTGTGGAAATTCTTTATTAAGTTCAAAAAATTGGTGATTTTAATCTATTAAAACTTTTCCCACCATGTTGTTATCCCCCTTATTTTATTCACATCTAAAAAATCTCACGTTCTGCTTGCCCAAAAGCTAACCACTTTATTTAATGTTTGCTCTACATATCACAGTTTTCCATATTCAAATACACCAAAAAATAAAATTGCATAAAACTCAATTCGTCGTCAGAATTTTTTCTTTTATTTTCCAGAAAAATAAAGAGTAAAGTGACAAGCGGTCCACAGAGAAATAGAGCATCGATGTGTAAAGTCAAACATTTGTGGAGCTCACATATGAAGACTGAAGCTGGTGTGGCATACAAAAGGCAAACAAATGAGCGCTTTGGAGAACGAGGAAGAGAAATGAAAGAAAAAGTAAACATTTGGACATGTTCATGTGTCAACATGAACAGCAACAGAACCAACTAGTGATATTCCCACAGAGTATGAATGTCTCAATTTTCATTTAGTATAATAACATTGGGAACGGAATGAAATGAATGAAGAGAGAGCAAAAAGGAACTGATGGAAATTTTCATGAATGAGTGACTGGGTGAGTGAAGAAGATTGCTTGGTCTGTGGAAACGTCGTAAGAGACATGAGGAGACAGTTACATGAGTGATGTTCAGAATGGGGCGAAATAAAAATTTTATCTGAAAAAATCGGGAATGGCTCATAAAAACCATAGCAAATTGAAGTAATCACAGGTTACGAAAGTGATCTGTCCGTCCATACCTGCCCGCCCGCTAGTTTCAAGCCTTTAGTATTCTATAGAACTCCTAATTTAGGGTACAACAGCTACCATTTTCTAGTGCAGACAGATTTATTTGAATGACAACTGGTCCATGACATGAGTGTCCAAACCTAAACGTTCAAACTTAAACAGGAAGTAAAGCAGATGTGGAAGAGCTAAAGCTCACAGAGCATAAGATAAAGAAAATATAAAACAAAATAATTGAATTGCTGCTCAGTTTTTTGCAGAGCTCAAAGTTGAGCCAAGTCGAAGTCGAATTTAAATCCAGTCTTAGGTACTTTGGAAAAAATAGCTGGACGTGAGTGTCAACGAGTCGACTCAGAAAAGTTAAGTCCCGAATGGCACAAGTTGGTCAATCGATCAGAAATTCGGCACTAAGCTGGTTTGACTCGGGTATGGTGCTGGATTTAAATTGAAGCCAGCACCATGCCAGAGTCTTGCAGGCTGGGCGTCAGATTTTTATCCGATTAAGCCGAGTTGAGCCGAGTCAACTCGAACCCTGTCGACTTCGAGCTCTGGATTTTTGTTTTGTTTTTAAAAATTATAAAGAAACAAGCAATGTTTACAATATACAGCCTTAGGAATGAGAATCTAAATTGGTGACAATCAGAAAAACTCACAAAACAGCCTCAAAACTAACTAGTTTCCACTCCCTATACCCCAAAAAACTGCTTAATCATCGTCATCATTACAGCATCATACACAAAGTTACACAAGTAAACAAAAAGAGGGTTTTAAATAAACAATATATAGTACAAATAGCAGCAGTAAATAAAGGTATAGGGAATTATCAAGCATAAATAAATACACAAAATTGAATTGAGCAAAATTCCATGTAAACTATGTAAATTCTCATGAGATAGCATAAAACTACATCAATTGTGTTATAAATGTATGATAATATTATATTTTATGGTAATTTACATGAAAACTCATGCATTCTTGATGAGAAATGAGTAGAGAGATGCTTTAAAGTGCTCTGGCTTCTTGATGGCTTTAAGGAATGTAGGAATGTGCGCTAGAGGGTTGGATGGTTTCATTCTTTGGATTGGTTGAGAAAATTGGAGGATTCGGAAGGAATGGGCGAGAAGATTTGGAATTGTGTCATTAAAGCTGCTGCAATTAATAGGAAGACTGTTGTTTTGTAGTCTAAATTGCTTCCTTAAGTACAAGTTTTTATAATTTCAGCATCTTGAAGTTATCATCCCTTGGATTTTTCTGCATCTTGAAGTGCTGATCTCTTGGATTTTTCGGCGTCTTCGATTGGACTTTCTGCTTCTTTTATAGAATTTTTTGCATCTTTTGAAATATTTTTTTGCATAAATTGTAATTTTTGCATCTTTTGCAATATTTTTTACATCTTTTGTAATAAGTTTTGCATCTTTTGTAATATGTTTCGCATCTTTTGTATAATTTTTTTGCATCTTATATATTTTTTGCATTTATCGCAATATTTTTCGCATCTTTTGTAATATTTATCGCATCTTTTGTATTTTTTCCATCTTTTGTAATATTTTTTGCAACTTTTGTAATATGTTTCGCATCTTTCGTATAATTTTTTTGCATCTTTTATATTTTTTGCATTCATCGCAATATTTTTTGCATCTTTTGTAATATTTATCGCATCTTTTGTATTTTTTCCATCTTTTGTAATATTTTTTGCATCTTTTGTAATATTTTTTGCAACTTTTGTAATATGTTTCGCATCTTTTGTATAATTTTTTTGCATCTTTTATATTTTTTGCATCCATCGCAATATTTTTCGCATCTTTTGTAATATTTATCGCATCTTTTGTATTTTTTCCATCTTTTGTAATATTTTTCGCATCTTTTGTAATATTTATCGCATCTTTTGTATTTTTTCCATCTTTTGTAATATTTTTTGCATCTTTTGTAATATTTTTTGCATCTTTTGTAATATGTTTCGCATCTCTTGTATTTTTTGCATCCATCGTAATATTTTTTCGCATCTATTGTATTTTTTTCCATCTTTTGGAATATTTTTAGCATCTATCATAATATCTTTCGCATCTTTTGAAATATTTTTTGCATCATAAGAGTTAATTTTTTGAATCCCGCATCTTTTTGTCAAAAACCGACTTTCAGCCATCCGTACTCAACAAATCCAAAACATTTAATCCAAAAAAATTCCTCGCATCTCATTCCACCTTTAAGTTATGATACCCTCGGTGCTATTTTCAGCACATCTTAATGTCTTAAAATAAATTCTTTTTTCGGGTACTCGACGGTAAAATTACAAAATAATATCCTACATAGCTCACCCAAAAAAGAGCACTTCATTCACCGTGCTCATCATTTAAAATTTTCCATCACACATTCATGATGAAAAAAAAATCTGTAACACATCTCGCGTCATCTCGTTAAGCTTAGGCATGACAAAAATGAATATTTTTTTGTTATCTTTTTTATTCAACGGCAACAAAAGCATTAGCATCGTATAAAGTTAATGGATTCACGTGCTTATGCCGTGATTTGAAGATTCTTAGGTTAATTGCTTTTGGATGTAAATACAAGTTGGATGATTTTTTTTTTTTATTCAGATTTCGGGAGGATTTGGTGGGGTTTTGGATTAATAAGTTCAAGAGCTTTGCAGATTTTTGGTTCCTAAGCCCTGGATTTAACAGTGCTGAAGTGCTGTGTCCAATAAATCAGATAGCAATTTTGAAGCCCTGGATTAAAAAATTTTGGAGCCTTAAATTTATCAGTTCGGAATCCCTGGATTTAAAAATTTGGAAGCTCTGGACTCTACCGTTCTGAAACTTTAAAACCCACGGTTTTGTAGCACTGGATTGAATGGTTCTGTAGCTCTGTATTCAATGATTTAGAAGCCCTGTGAATTCTTATGCTCTGGATTTGATAGTTCGAAAGCCCTGGATTCAATTGTTTTGATGCCAAAGGTTTAACGGTTCTAATGACTTGAATTCAACAGCGCATTATCCTATGTTCGGCAGCCCTGGATTCAAAATCTTTAGAGCAAAACTTTTAATTCACAAATTTCTCACAAAATTCTCTCAAGAGACCCCAAAAAAAAAAATCTTTATTCAAAGCCTAAACCAAAGTTTTTAATTGAAAAAAAAAACTCCACTCAGCACCAAAAAAATAACATTGAATAAAAATAAATCTGTTTTAAAATTGTGTATATTTTTATAAGAACAAAAGCAGTTCCGCTGCCTTAGTCGTATGCTTAAACATTTAATTAACCCTAATGGGGTTTAGCAAAAAAATTCTACATGAGCGGCAGATTAAAATTATTTTTATCCCAAAAGACAATGAAATGCGAAAATGGCAAAGAAGATGGAAAATTATTCCCCATTGTGCAGTTGATCCAGTTTGTGTATTCATTAGATATGCTGGAGTTTAATAAGATAATCTTGATGAAAGACATTTTTAGTTGAAAATTGTGTCAAATTAGAAGTTAATAAGATTGCATGGTTCCGGATGAGATAATCAAGACAACTTTATGGATGTAATTATGTTTTATTGATCATTATATACTTTAAATTCACAGTTGCTACGAAATGAGTCACAAATTTCAAGCTCATTAATTTTTTCAAGTGCCAATAAGAGCAAAATCTAATCATTTTGTGATTAAAAACAAAGTTTTTCAGAGTTTATCAGGAATAATGCAATGATAAGCATTTTAGAGTAAAGTAGGTTTGACAAACTAAATTGCGTAGTTTAGTCACAAAATATTGGCAACAGGACAGCGTAAGGCAAGCGAGTATCGAGATTAGATAAAGTCAATACCCTCGCCAGGCTAGATTTACTGTTTTTCAATATTTCTACACAGTCCAACATGTTAAAAGAACGTCTAAAGACAGCTCTTTCCTTCGACACCTTCTGCCAGTTCAGGATATCCAGGACTATAGCGTCCTTTTCAACACAACCAATCCAAGAGTTCTTCGATCTTTCTCTCTTAATAAAAATCTTTCTATTTTTAAAGCTTTACAGCTGCCTCCTAATGAATAACCCATTTAGAGTACACATAAGATGAATTTAGTCTAAAAGAAGTCTGTTCGATATGGCCTGGTACTTATTCTTTCGCATTTGTGCCTCAGAATCAGAGACTGAGGCCCTGGACATACTAATGTTCAAGATTTTATATTAACATGACCCATTTATCGAAATTAGCAACTCTCAACCGTAGGTGCGTTCACTTATGACGTCGATCAAAAAAAACTCATTTTTAGATCCACCCTCTGCCCTTCTATCACAAAACTGTCTCAGATGTTAACCCCCCCCCCCTCCCCTCCCCCCTTGTGACGTCCATCCAAAGACACAAAAATAAATATAATTTCCTGATTAAAAAATTGGATTTCACAAATTTCCTGCCCCCTTTTCCCTCCCCTGTCATAATATGTCACAAATGTTTTGATCCCCCTCCCTCAATAAATGTTGGACGTCATAAGTGAACGACCCCTTATCAAAAATCACAGATTAGCTGCGTACTAAAATTTATTGCAATTTTCAAGTTTTGATAACAAATTTATCAAACCAAATGTTTCTCATTCGTCCCGTAAAGTTTAAAGTATAGACATCGAAAATTTTAAAAAAAAGTTACGAAATATGTGCTTAAAAATTGTAATTTTGCTGTTTATTGCAATAAGCTCAGTGTCTTCACAAGAATTTCTGTTCTGCTTATACGGAAATGTTAACGAAACCTACACGTGCAGCATTAATATAGGCAATCCATTTGAAAAGTTGGATTTTACTCACATCAATGGAACACATTGGCCTGGTTATAATGATGATGACGTCTTGGCTGTTATTACTGGATACTCGACGTCATCAATAAATATTCCGCCTATAATTTGCAATAAATTCCAAAACACCGAGACACTTTCGTACCGTTCAATGGGACTAGGAATTATTCTTAATGAAGCATTTGCTGGATGTACAAAGGTCAAGTCCATCGACTTGTCAAACAACAGAATCACTCTTGTTGATGAAAATTCATTTATTGAGAATGTTATGCTTGAAAAACTTCACTTTGGGTCAAATGAATTGGTGAGCCTACCTGAAAGTGTGTTCCTTAATGTCCCAAATTTAGTTCATTTGTACTTGGAGAAGAACAACATTAGCGACTTACCAGCTGATATATTCAAGTCCCAAGAGAATGTAAAGGAATTAAATCTTAACAACAATCAACTTACAAACCTCAAGTCTGAATGGTTTGATAACCTTAAAAGCCTTAATATATTGAGATTAGGATCCAATACTTTTGAGATGATTCCTGACAACACCTTTAAAGGTTTGACAAGTTTACAGCAAGTCTTTCTGGACGGCAACAATCTTGAATACATTCATTCAGCTTCATTTGGACGTCTACCAAAATTGGAAGTTATGAATTACATGAACAATCAAATCAAAGCAATTGATGCGAGAATCCTTAACGTAACTGGAGTCAGTGTAATGATCATGCTGGGAAATGTTTGTGCGAATGGATTTATTAATGATAATTCAACTGGCAGAGATCAAATGAGGGCCTTTTTAGCACAATGCTTTGATAAATATGAGGAATTATTTCCATGTAAGTTTGCTTATGTAAATTTGGGGTTTAAAGCTTGTATCGTAATCAAAGTTATTGTGACTATTTATTTAAGTTGATATGAAGTTACGAAATTTTCCAGTCTATTTGCATTCAGCCTTGCCATAAGCTAGATTTAAACCAACTTTTTTAATTTTTTCAGCTTGTCCAGATGAAAATGTAAACGAACGAGTTTGTAAACTTGAGGATGAGAACCGCGAACTTTTGTTTAAAACTGAGACTTTAGCAAGGGAAAAGCAGGAACTTGAGAGGAAACTCGATGATCAAGTCAAAGTTTTTAATGCAGCAATCATGAATTTGCAGAATCAAATCAACGAGCTAAGAGTTCTACCAACAACAACTACAACAACAACTACGATTGCTCCTTCAACAACCAAAGAAGAAACTTCGACATCAGCTTCATTTATAGAATGCGAAACATCCACTTCAGACTCATCAACATTAACTCAAGAATCTATTTTACCAACATCAGCTTCAGATTCATCAACTAATAAACAGATGTAGTCAGAAACCACTAGAGCTGAATCACTAACAATAATAACAGAAGCATTAAACTTTTGAAGCTGAGACTATAAAAATTGTGAAAAAAAAAAATTAATAAAATAAACTTTAAAGCCCCCCAAAAATGTAAATTTTAATTGAAAACTCCTCACATTGTTCCTTTCAGCAAAGCAATTTCCATTACATAAACTTTCTTTATTCTCTGTTAACATTTATGAGGTGCTCATACTAGGAATTCAATCAGATATGTAAATTTTATGGCTACATCAACCAATATATTTTAAAAAAACTAATGAAAAATTTCAATCTCATCAGAAAGTTTGTCGGTTGTGTGTGAGTATGTTTTGATTATTGGGTGTGAGTCTATCAATTGTTGAAGCTTTTTGTCATATGATTGGATACAATGAGCTTAGAATGGCTTAGTTAATATTCAAAAATAGAAGTTCTGAGATTATAACCTTGAAAATCTTGAACTTTGTAGATTTTAGCCTCAAAGTCTTCATTTTTTTTTTAAATTCTTACCTCAAAAATTTGAATTTTGTTGGTTTTAACCTCAAAATCTTGAATTTTGCAGATTATAACCTCAAAGGCCTCAATTTTGAAGTATCTAACCTCAAAATCCTCAATTTATTCTGATTGTAACCTCAACGTTTTCAATTTTGTAGATTGAAATTGAAGTATCTAACCTCAAAATCCTCAATTTATTCTGATTGTAACCTCAAAGTTTTCAATTTTTTAGATTATAACCTCAAAATGTTGAATTTTGTAGATTCTAACCTCAAAGACCTCAATTTTGAAGTATCTAACCTCAAAATCCTCAACTTATTCTGATTGTAACCTCAAAGTTTTCAATTTTGTAGATTCTAACCTCAAAATCTTGAATTTTGTAGATTCCAACCTCAAAGACCTCAATTTTGAAGTATCTAACCTCAAAATCCTCAACTTATTCTGATTGTAACCTCAAAGTTTTCAATTTTGTAGATTCTAACCTCAAAATTTTGAATTTTGTAGATTTTAACCTCAAAATCTTGAATTTTGTGGATTCTAACCTCAAAGACCTCAATTTTGAAGTATCTAACCTCAAAATCCTCAACTTATTCTGATTGTAACCTCAAAGTTTTCAATTTTGTAGATTCTAACCTAAAAATCTTGAATTTTGTAAATTCTAACCTCAAAATCTTGAATTTTGTAGATTCTAACCTCAAAGACCTCAATTTTAAAGTATCTAACCTAAAAATTCTTTCCATTTGCGATATTCCATCATCACTCCACATCACACATTCCCCATATCATGTCTATCTTATGCTAAATTCATTCCACTTATCTTCTACAAATAGAAACTAAAACATTCATATGACATACATATCAGATAAGATCTAACGATCCATAATTAAATGGATGGAAAATGCAGATTATCTAGGATATGAAGCAGAGCAAATTGAAAGTTAAACCATGGAATTATTTATGGCATAACTAACTCGTGACAATTTGCATTGTGAATGGATGTTTGAGTTATAAGATTTACATACACAAGATGAATGAAAATTGTTGGTTTTAGTAAGTTGTTAAAGTTTATGAAGAGATGAATGTTGATATAACTTTTTTTGGGGGTGAAAGGATGGGAGTTACAAATGGATTTCTTGGAATTTCAATAGACTAAGAGTATGAAATGAAAACAGTGAATTTCTGGGGTTAGAATTTAAAAAATATAGAATTTTGAGGTTAGATTCTACAATTATGAATCTTTTAAAGGTTAAAAACTATAAATGCTTACTTTGAGATTCTATTATACAAATTTGAAGATTTTGAGGTTAAAATCTACAATTAAGATTTTGAGGTTATAATCTGCAAAATTCAGGATTTTGAGGTTGAATTCTACAAAATTTGAAATTTTAAGGTTAGAATTGATAAAATTCAGAATTTTGAGGTAAGAATTTACAAATTTAAAGATTTTGAGATTAGAATCTACAATTAAGATGATTTTGAGGTTATAATCTGCAAAATTCAGGATTTGAGGTTAGAAACTTCAAAATTTGAAATTTTAAGGTTAGAATTGATAAAATTCAGAATTTTGGGGTAAAAATTTACAAATTTAAAGATTTTGAGGTTAGAATCTACAATTAAGATGATTTGAGGTTATAATCTGCAAAATTCAAGATTTTGAGGTTGGACTCTACAAAATTTGAAATTTTAATGACTGATTTTATAAATTCTAATTTTGTGTTTGTAATATACAAATTTGAAGATTTTAAGGCTAGAATTTACAAAATTTATGATCTTGAGGTTATAATCTATAGTATATCCCTATCCATGCAAAATAATAATAAATTATTTATAACAATTCATTTTATGAACATCTCAAATACTTTCTTAAAGAAGGTACAACTCAACTAAATTGATTGCATAAAGGTACTAAATTATGAGAACTTAATATTCAATGCGACAAAAATTTTTATAAAATTTAATTTATCTTGAGAATTCTTTGATAAATGCATCCCGACATCCGCAATGCATGAACATTTCTCACAAAAGTTTTTGATTTTGTTTTTAATAAATTGAGTTTAAAGAGTAAAACATAATTTAGAACTGCTGCTTGTTCCTGATACATGTCTAGGATATTGTACTGCTTTGCTTAAAATTTTACATTAATTTTTTAAAATCCGAGAATTCTCATATCGTGCAGTTTTGCGATGCATGAGATCTTTTTTTGCAAATGAAAATATGATGAAAAAAGCAAGGAAATGAAAGTTTCGTGAATGTGGAAAATTAAGTGATTTTTATGATGATGATTGTGATTGTGACAGACGGGCGAGATTGTGGAAGCTTTTAGTTGAGATTAATGGATTTGATGGGAATCAAGGATGTTTTTTAGTGTTATAATATGATATTTTGTAAGTTTTGAGGTTAGAATTCAAAAAAAAAACAATAATTTTGAGGTTAGAAACTGAGGAACTTTGAGGTTAGAATTCAAGAATTGAGAAAATTTGAGGTTAGAATTCAAGAGCAGAGTTCGAAGTCGTTTCGAGTTGACACGAGTTCAACCCTATCGACTTCGAGCTCTATTCTAGTGTCATAGAATCTTTAGGCAAGTATACAACAAAAATTGAGGTTAGAACAGCCTTGAACTCAAATTTAAAATCTCCCTTTAAAAAATACAACCCCTCCAACAACAACAATCACAAGCATTGCTGATCATATCAATGAAAATTATGCAAACGGATTATCTTCCATTACAAATTTTATTCATCATGTTCAGAATAATAATCATTTCCATAAGTGCTTCAGCTTCTGCTTGGATTGTAACTTGAATGTTTTGTTGCTGTTTTGCATTTTTTTTTTCTGTCTAAATTTCGACAATATTTGAATTCGTGCTTCGAAATCCAAATAAAAATTCTTCACATTTATCTTCATTAAATGGATTTCGTATAGCAATTACTATGCAACTATGTGCAGCTATAGTAAATATTGTTGGGATATGAAACGAGACATGTATTTTGTTGCAAAAATCCATTGGACGGACATTTTTTTATTTTAAGCATAAAATTTTATATTTCTTGGATTCAAATTAGTGTTCAAAATCTCACCAAATTTTTCACGAGCAAAAATTTTTGTGAGCAAATTTTTTTAAAAATCTCACGAGCAAATTTTTCGTGAGCGGCTCACGAAAATTTTGCTCGTGAGATTTTCAGCTCGCGAGCTGAATTTTGCTCACGAAATTGCTCACGTGAGCCTACGTGAGCAAATTGTGACGTAATTTTTCAAAAAATTTCTATGAATAAATTTGTATGAAATTTCTTGTTATGGGATGGTTCTTCAGAATGGATGAAGCTTTTGCCAGTGACTTTTCATGACTTTGCTGGATAATTTTGAGTATGCAGGACCTTCTTGTTCCTGAATCTTGACTTGTTGCTTGGATTTTTCCTTAGTTTTGCTTAGAATCATTTCCAAAATCATAGGAGCCAATGATGGAAATAGATGTCAAAACATTCTTACAATACTTTTGAGACATCTCATATGGAACTGGTCATGTCCAACTGGGTGGAACTGCCGAAAAATTTTTTTTTTATTTTTCTATGCTTTACAGACACTTTTGGGCAGGGGTTGGAACCAAGCACTTCCTTTACTTCCAGGTCCAATTTTAGGTGCTTACTATGTCAAGAAGGTTTCGAAACATCAGGAAAACACAAAGCTTTCAAATTAGAAAGCAGTTCCTTTGTGAAATATTGCATTTGTATAAAATTTCCATACATTTTCACAAAATCTTGCGGTTTATTGAAGAATATTCGAAGGAACTGCTGAATATTTTGAAAGTTTTGTGTTTTCCTGATGTTTCGAAACCTCCTTGACATAGTAAGCACCTAAAATTGGACCTGGAAGTAAAGGAAGTGCTTGGTTCCAACCCCTGCCCAAAAGTGTCTGTAAAGCATAGAAAAATAAAAAAAAATTTTTTCGGCAGTTCCACCCAGTTGGACATGACCAGTTCCATATGAGATGTCTCAAAAGTATTGTAAGAATGTTTTGACATCTATTTCCATCATTGGCTCCTATGATTTTGGAAATGATTCTAAGCAAAACTAAGGAAAAATCCAAGCAACAAGTCAAGATTCAGGAACAAGAAGGTCCTGCATACTCAAAATTATCCAGCAAAGTCATGAAAAGTCACTGGCAAAAGCTTCATCCATTCTGAAGAACCATCCCATAACAAGAAATTTCATACAAATTTATTCATAGAAATTTTTTGAAAAATTACGTCACAATTTGCTCACGTAGGCTCACGTGAGCAATTTCGTGAGCAAAATTCAGCTCGCGAGCTGAAAATCTCACGAGCAAAATTTTCGTGAGCCGCTCACGAAAAATTTGCTCGTGAGATTTTTAAAAAAATTTGCTCACAAAAATTTTTGCTCGTGAAAAATTTGGTGAGATTTTGAACACTAATTCAAATCTCAAAAATTCTCAATTTTTGGATTCTAACCTTAAAATTTTATATTTCTTGGGTTCTAACCTCAAAAATTCTCATTTTTTGGATTCTAACCTTAAAATTTTATATTTCTTGGGTTCTAACCTCAAAAATTCTCCTTTTTTGGATTCTAACCTTAAAATTTTATATTTCTTGGGTTCAAAC